TTATCATGACACCAGTGCCATTTCATTTTCAAGTAAAAGGTATTGATGAGAATTCTTTAGGTCTAGCACCCAAAGCAGGGATTCTCAACTCTAGCTACATATTAGAGCCATCTAAAGAGCTTTAAAGAAATACCAGTGTATAGGCCCTATTCTCTGAAATCCATATATAACTGGCCTAGGTGGGACCCTGACACTTTTTAAAAATCTTATCTCAGGATTAGATGTTCTGATCTAAAAGAAGGTAAATATATTCCTCATATACTAAATTGAATCAAGAAGTTTTTAAGAGCTGTCTTGAACTAAAAACTACATAATACTATTTCAATTGAAAATGTTTAAAATTCCAGGCAACTAAATTAATCTTGACACTTAAAGTTCATGGGGAAAAAAATGCCATTGATGCCAATTAAAATGATCAAAATATAGCAAAGTACCTACTATAATTAGTCATTGTCCAGTGTTCAGAGAAAGATAAATGCAGAAAATAACAGAAGCTAAGAAAAGGTAAAGGAATTAGGGAAATAACATGTATATAAGAAAGTTGCAACTAACAAAAACAGAAAAAGCATATTGCAAAGGAGTAGAAAATAGCCCTGCATAGGCATTCAATAAGTTTTCATTTCCTTCTCTGAATTATTATTCCTCCCATTCCAGATAAAACAGGGAGGCTCTGAAAAGCTCAAGTTCAAAAGCCAAATGAAGCATGGAATCAGACTTAGGCTTGTATGATTTTAAAGTCCACACCCTATCCATCATATTACACTGCTTCACAGCAAAACAGGAAAAGACAAAGAAAACAAATTCAAGGGCATTAAATGGCTCAATATACTAGAAAATTAGAGTTCACTGAAGGCTTATAAACCTGGAAATAAGGTTGGGGCAAAATGTGATTCCAGAAGATTATTAGGGTGTAAACAAGATGGATTAAGACAGAGGTTAGCAGGCTCCAGGAAGCCGCTCCTCCAGCCACCTTCAAGAGGGAGCTTTGCCAATGACTGTAAATCCAAATAAATACCCAACTTTCTAAACTGCCTGTTGCCAATAGAAGCCCTAGAATGAACCCCAGGATTAAGAGGTGGGGGGGGGGGGGGGGGGGGGGTAGGGGTATATTTAAAAAAAGAAAAGCCAAAACCGGTTTGGCTCAGTGGATAGAGCATCGGCCTGTGGACTGAAGGGTCCCGGGTTCAATTCCAGTCAAGGGCATGTACCTTGGCTGCGGGCATATCCCCAGTAGGGGGTATTCAAGAGGCAGCTGATCGATGATTCTCTCTCATTGATGTTTCTAACTCTCTATCCCTCTCTCTTCCTCTCTGTAAAAAATCAATAAAGTATATTTAAAAAAAAAAAAAAGAGGCTGGGGTGGGGGGTGCATAGAGAAAAGGAAACCACTGACTGCTTCAAAACGAATCATGTGACTTAGAACTATGAAAGTACTGCATTCTCTACTAGTTTCACAAGTTACTCAACTTTTCAATGCTTTAAGGACACGTCTTTTATAAGACCCACACCATTCTGTATTTAAAGACTTATAACAGGAGTCTTGATTGTCCATTGCAGTTATCAAATAACTAAAATTACATAAGTTAGACAAATGTTTGCTTATATCTAACTAGAGGCCCAGTGCATAAAATTCATGCACAGGGGCAGGGGTGTCCCTCAACCCTGCCTGCACCCTCTCCAATCTAGGACCCCTCAGGGGTTGTCTGACTATCAGTTTAGGCAGTTGGACATTCCTCTCACAATCCAGGACCACTGGCTCCTAACCACTCCCCTGCCTGCCTGCTTAATGGCCCTAACTGCTCCTCTGCCTGCCTGCCTGCCTGCCTGCCTGCCTGGTTGCCCCTAAAAGCCTTCCCCTGCCAGTCTGGTTGCCCCCAACATGCATATACCTGTGGTCCCTTAGCCTAACCTGTGCCCTCTCGCAATCTGGGAGCCTCAGAGGATGTCCTCAGGGGAGTAGGCCTGAAGGGTCCCGGGTTCGATTCCGGTCAAGGGCATGTACCTTGGTTGCGGGCATATCCCCAGGAGGGGGTGTGCAAGAGGCAGCTGATCGATGACTCTCTCTCATCGATGTTTCTAACTCTCTATCTCTCTCCCTTCCTCTCTGTACAAAAATCAATATATTAAAATATAATCCAAACTGTTGACTGACAGGCCACACGTGACTAATAGGCACAAGTTTTGTGTTGTGGTGTTTTAAATAAAATTTTATCCCACTGACAAAACTTAAAAATGGGAGATATCACTTTAAAAAACAACTGTATTTCCAACTTTCCTTGAAAAAAATGGGTGCTATGGCAACCCTGGGTTCACACAGTCACAATGAGCTGTACCTGAGCAACAGATGAACCCTTTTTGAATGGCTCTTAGATGTGAAGTCTGGAAATGACAGTCCACTGCCTGATTTATGCGACTGTACCTGTAGCACTGCAATCATTCCAGAAATACCTGACCATCTGTCAAGCACTAGAGTTACAAAAATACAGTCTCTCCCCCACAACCTACCTTAGTGGAAAAGGCAGAGAGACAAGCAATTAGGATCCATGAGATAAGTGCTGTGATAAGGGAAGTAAAAGGCACATAATACATGGCTATGGTATCTAACTCTGTCTATGAGAAATCAGGGGACACCCCTCAGAGAAAGTGACAGCTAAACTGATCTTTAGCAGTCACAAAAATTATCAAAGAAGAGATCAGGGAAAACAAAATGCCAGAGAGAGAGAGAAAGAGAAAAGAGCCTTTGCCAAGACCCTGAGGGGAGACAAAGTATCCGAGAAAGTTAAATCAGTTCAATATGGCTACAGCCATCACCCAACCTCAAAAGCAGGTGTCAAAGAAAAGTTTAATTGAAAGGGCCGGAGGGAAAAGCCAAGTGTTAGTTCAAGTCAAGAGATGAAGTAGAATTTCCATAGTGACGGAATATGTAAGAGTTCGTTAAGCAGGGAAGAGAGGCTTCAGAGGGCACAGCTGTGTTGAGAGATGAAATGTAGGAAGAAAAGGAGAGAGAAGCAGGGATAGTCTAAACCAAGGGAGGGGAGGCACAAAGCAGCACGGGAATGAGGGTGCAGTAGCATAGAAGACCAAAGGGGCTTACATCTCGGGCGGTAACCAAGGATAACGGGGATGTGGAGCATGGCAGTTTTGGCTGGCCACAAGTTTGGCAAGAGAATTAGTCCCAGCGGTCCCCTGGTGGACGCGGAGGCATTCAGGCCTCTCAAAATTCAGCTGCGTCCTGGCTGGATTGCACTTCGGTCTCTTTGTAAGACATCGGCTTCAGTCTGGCTTGTGCCGGCTCCAGGAGAGGCTCTGGGTTCCAGGCTGCGGCCACGCAGGCTCCCATGGAGTGGTTAGAGGCCTGGTCTGTGTGTGCTGGTGGGTAGAAGTTTAGTATAAACTACCTTGTATTATTTTCTGATTTTTTCTGTAGGAATGATGGGCCTGCATACATCCTCTTAGAAAAAAAAAAAAAAAAAGCAATCGTGTGCCCATTATAGATTTACAGGAAGAAAAAAAGGTGCCAAGAAGTTCAACATGTGTCCACACCAGTACTCAAGAGGAGTCATTCCCAAATCCAAGTCCCCCCAACTAGATTAAGATATCCGCCAGAGGAAAGAGGGGAAAAAAAAAATGCCTGTTTTGCACTTTTTTTGTAGCTCTCAAAAGTGCCTAACAGCAAACTAGATACGCCGAACACATTCAGTAAAATTTACCGACTTCCTAGCATTTCTGGCGTCACGGAAGTTACCTCATTCAGTCCCCTTTGGCATATTAAGGCGCTAAAGAGACGCGAACTGTATCTCAGACTTCTTGCTTTTTTTTTTTTTTTTTTTTTTTCCAAACTCCACTGTGTCTGTCTGTTTCCCCCCTCAACCGCAGAGGCAGAAGTGCTCCCCGATCCCAATGCAGCGGGAGCCTCCCGAGTCCCGCCACGGAAAACGCCCGCCCGCCTGCCCGCCGCCACTCCCGCGAGGTCTCCGGCCCCGGCCCCGGCCCCGGCCCCCCCTCCGGCCGCGGCCCCCTCGCACAAAGGGAAAGAAAACACCCTCACCAACTCGGGGCCGCCGGGAGGATCGGTGGATGTGGTAGTCCGCTCGTCGCCGTTCTCGGCGAGGCACTTCCGGCGCGCGCATGACGTCAGCCGAGCGCCCGCCTCCGGGCCTGCGCCCGGGCCTCCGGTGAGCCGGGAAGAGGCTCTGCCTTCACCTGAGCCGCCTTCTCGTCCGCGGCGCCAGATCCTTCCCAGTTCCCGCGATGCCGAGGCCGCTGCGAGGGGCCGGGAGTCGTCGGGGATAAGCCCCCGCCCCCGGAGCCGAGGGCTCGCGCTCTGCCGACCGGCCGGGCCCGCCCCACGGGAAGGTAAACGCCTCGTCCGCGGCGGCCTGTCCTCCGGCCAGCCCCTCCCTGACCCCGCAGCCCACAGGGACCGGCCGTTAGCTAACTAGCTGCCTGCGCAGGGCTCGCCGGGACGGCTAAAGCGTTTCAGATGGGAAACGTTTTTTCAAAAAAGATCCATCGCGGCTGAGTGTCTGAAGCGGCCTCAGTGCGTTCCCCGGAGCATCTTCCCCGGCATCTGCGCCAGTTGGCTCGCCTTCGAATCCGACTTGTGCCCTTTGTGAGCGTTCGGAGCCCCCTCCTTAAAGATACACCGCACACGATTCTTAATTCGAAAACCTGACCGTGGTTGGGCCGGATAGAACTTTCAGGAAGTTAGCTGGACTTTTTTTTTATATGCATCAAAATGTGGGGCTTAAATTTCCTCTTAATGTAAGGTAACCAGGCGTCCCGCTTTTGGCGGGACAGTCCCGATTTTTAACAACGTGTCCCGCGACCTGCAGCATTTTAAAAAAGTCCCGATTCTTTCCAAAAATCGGGACTTTTTTAAAACGCCGCGGGACACATTATTAAAAATCGGGACTTCTGGTCACCTTATTAATGCCATTCCAGAGAAAAATAATTAAAGATAGCCAGAAAGGTACCCAACCAAAGTACTAGTGGAAATCAATGGCTTAAGTTCTTTCTGAGTTCCCAGGCTCTTTCTGCTGTGTGTATGCGAAGTATCATACATATTTGAAAGCACTTTTTGCTCTTAGCTTTGGGGAAAATTAGTAATGTCAGAGTTTTTCTCTTTTTTTAGAGATATTTTTTTATTTCAGAGAGAAAAGAGGAGGGAGAGATAGAAACATCAACGATGAGAGAGAATCGTTGATTGGCTGCCTCCACAGCCCCCTCTGGGGCTTGATCCCGCAGTTCAGGCAGGTGCCCTTGACCAGAATCAACCTGGGACCCTTCAGTCCAAATGCTCATACTCCATCCACTGAGCCAAACCAGATAGGGCCAGAGTTTTTCTCTTATCTGTTTAAAACGTACTTCATTCACACTGTAGGCCAGCACTAAAAGGCTTAGTGTGAAGAATCCACTTGAAATAGGACCAGAAAACTCTTTTACTAGTAAGTGGTGTCTGGAGAAAAGGAATTCCTTAATTCACCCAACTGGGAGTCATTAACTATTACTAAAAAGTAAGGAAGATGTATGAATCTGGCATAATTAAATCAGTGATTTAATTTGCTTGTATTGGGTTTTTACTTGGAATGAAGAACATCCTGGCTTAGATTGCTTATGTATCTATTTGTTTTCTTTCTTAGAAATGAGTGGTGGATTGGCCCCAAGTAAAAGTACAGTGTATGTATCCAACTTGCCCTTTTCCCTGACCAACAATGACTTATACCGGGTAAGTTTTATTAAAAGGACTATTATCTTCTGAACTATCAATTTGAGAAACAATTGTAGCTAAAGCAAACAGTTATCCTTGCTAAAATTCTTAATAAATACATTGCAGTGCTTGTGCTGCAGATGGGTGGTTGAGAAAAACGAAGGAATAGCATGAATCCTTTCTTCCAAGTGGGCCCTCTTTCTCTGTGCTACCTGAGGTAGATATTAAGTAGAAAGATGCTGCACAGATAGTATGTATTGCTTGATTAATTACTTAAGAGAGTTTTAAACCCAAAGAACAGAGGAGAAAAACTTTAGCTTCCTTCCTTGTTACAAAGTAGAGACATTTCTGTCCTTATTGAATACTTAGTATATGCTGCATGCTCTTAGAGATCCTAGGAACACATCAACAAACAAAAACATGAAAACTCCCTCTTGGTACTCACAATAAAAAGGTAGACAATGTAAAATATAAAAAAGTCGAATGATGTTATTTGTTAAATACAAAGCTAATGCTAAGATGCTAGGTGCTAAGGAGAGAAAAAAAGCAGGAAAGGGGGGTTATTAAATGTTAGGTTTGGAATGGAGGTGAAATTTTACCTGAGCGGTCTAAACTCTTATTGAGAAGGTGACTTTTCAGAAAAGACCTGAAGGAAGTAAAGGCAGCTGTCTAGTGCATGAGCTTTTCAGGCACAGAGTAAATCAGGCGAAGAGAAGAGGAGGAGCTGTCAAAGGTAAGCCCAGGCAGGGATGCCTTTTAGGGCCTACACAAGATAATGGAAAAGACTCGGAGTGGAAAGAGAAGCCTTTTGAAAGTGTTAGATGGAAAGCTGTCTCTATTGGCCTTCAGAATGCAATGTGGCTACACAGCAATCCAGTTATATCACATTCCATCATTACCCAAGTTACAAATAGGACTCAAAATTTATCATTGATTGCATATATTAATCTATTCAAAAACACTTTTCTAATAAGCGATACATAATAGGAACTATCTATATAGACTGAATGGCCACATTATTATGATCTCTGAATATTGTATATATAATCCTATATAATAAAAGGCTAATATGCAGAATGTCCCTCAACCAGGAGTTTGACCAGCAGTCCTGCCAGCCAACCAACCATGTCCCCTCCCCCTGGCCAAGCTGGCCAGATCCCACCCATACACGAATTCATGCACTGGGCCTCTAATATATATATTAGAGTGGCCAGATTATTATGCATTCGAAGATCATAATAATCTGGCCACTCGGTGTATATAAAAGGCTAATATGCAAAGTGTCCCCTTGGGAGATCGATCTGGGGTTTGATCACTCTCTTTGACAAGTGCTGACCTCCAGGGGGAAGCGTGGAACAAAGAAAGGCCCTGGCTGACAACCGGAGGCCCCAATCAGTCCTGATGGCCAGACAGGCCTAAGGACCCTACCCGTGCATGAACTTCCTGCACCAGGCCTCTAGTTACCATATAAGTATTGACTGAAGCAATAAGTGAAATTGTGAGATTGCTTAGGGTGAAGATATACAATAGATGTAAAAGAGAAGAAAGGGCCAACTATAGTTTCACTAACACATTAAGTGGGGGAGGGGGAAGAGCAGAAAGATTTGGGGAATGGAATTTTCATTACAGGAGCTTGTTTTATGTTTTGTTTTATAAGCAATCTAAGGATCTGTCTTTGAAATAATCATTGCTTGATTGGGTGGGAGCAGGCTGGGAATCATGATATTGTGCAACATTGTCAATTGAAATACAAGGTTTCTCTGGAGCTGTGGTGGAGCTGATAGTTGCTATGGATATACCACAGTAACACGGCAACTGTATAATGTGTGTGCCGTCAGACTACCACACCTGAAGAGTGGGTTTTTTCCTCTGTATGTACTTGTTTGTCAGAAATTTAGAAATTGAGACAGATACCTGGACTCCAATAACAAAATTAAAAATATTATTATCTTACAGACTAAAGGCTAAAATTTTTCATAAACTATAACAAAGAATGTGGCAAGTGTATACAACCTGAAAATTTAATGTTTTTGTGTGATTTTTAAATTAAATTGTAAATTCCTATGTGGTATTTTATTTCAGATATTTTCCAAGTATGGCAAAGTTGTAAAGTAAGTATTCACATAAAATTTTGAAAGTTCATTTAAAAGTTTATCTTAATTTAGTTCTCCATTATTTTTTAATTATGTAGTCAATTAACTATATTTTATAAAACAAATTTTTGATATAACAAAGTAAATAAGAATACTGTTGTTAACATTTTTACATACATATATGTCACTTTTCTATGTATGTAAACATGTATAAACAATTTTTTGAAAGTCAATTAAATTCTGGCAACTGCCTTTTAAGGTAAACACTGTTATTATCTTGATGTTACTATAAATGACAAACTGAAGCACACAGTAAACCTAAAATGATATTGCTAGTTTATGGTGGAGACTATTTAAATCCAACAGTTTGATTCCAGAGCCTACTCCCTTAACTCTACCATTACCTTTTCTTGTTTTTGTCCCTGTCTGTCAGAATCTCCAAATGAATTTCCATACAAATATATATCTAAGAGAATGCTATGAAGTTAAAAGACACAGTTATAAGCACCCAGGACAGGGAAGACCTGATTTAGTCTAGGGAGGGTAGAGTTACCTGTCTGGATCCGTTGAGTTGAAAACTAAAAGTAAGAGTTAAGTAGGCAAGGCAAATGGAAGAAACATTTTCAGTAGAGGAAACCTCTTGTGCAAAGGCCCTGTGGCAAGAGAAAATAAAGTGACATCATGAAACAGAGAAAGCCAATATGACCAGAGTTGAGTGAACAAGAGGGAGAAATGTAAGTCCAGAGATAGAAGCAGGTTCCTAATCTTGCTTTTTGGCCATATTACAAGATACTTGGTTTTCATCCTAAAAATAACAGGAATCCACTAAAGAATTATAAATGAGGGAATGACATTGTTTTACTGCCTTTACATTATCAATGTTTAGTGCCTGGACTTACAGCTAATTGAGTAACTGAATGACAACATGAATAAACAAATAGATATACTTTTTTGAGAAACTAATTTCCCATTTGCATCTATCTTTTTGTTTTAACATATTGAACTAGGCTTAATAGAAACAACATTAAAGGAGTTTTTATTATACTACCGTAGGAGCCCAATGCATGAAAATTCATGAAAGAATAAGCCTTACTTCTCCCAGCTGCGGGCTCCGGCTTCCCTCTGGCTGCCAGCAAGCACCTGAGACCCAGGGTGGCTTCCCTCGGGCCGCCTGCAGGCACCTGGGACCCGGGCTGCTTGCCTCCTCCAGCCACCAGCAGGCATGCAGGACCCAGGCCAGCTTCCCTCCACCCCAGCTTTGTCAGGAAGGCTGTCCGGAAGACGTCCAGTCTAATTAGCATGTTACCCTTTTATTATAGATGAGATGAGGCATGGTTTTTACATAACTAGATTTCTGTAGAGGCTAGCAGAAAGATGGAGAAAGTATTTCTAGTTAAAGAAAACAGTGTGCCGGGCCAGCACAGCCAAGGGTTCAGTGAGCCTGAGGTGTGGTGATAAAGGATTGAAGACCGACAAAGAATAAGCTGGGTCTAGGTGGATCTTCTGTGCCCAGGTAAGGCCACAGAGAGATAGATCCAGATGGCAAGCTGAGCCTTTATTTTATAGCCAAAGGTAGTGGTCACCATAGTTACAGTGTTCTTGTGAGTTTCACTTGTTTTGGCAGCACTTGCTGCTCCTCCCACAGCCCATTAGCTACCCAGGGAGGATCTAGGCATTGTCATAAGGTCAAGCTTAATTATCCTCTAAGCTCAGACTTGTTTGTGGCTTTGCCAACAGGCCAGTCCGAGGCTTAACCCTCTAACCACTCAGTACAAAGTAGTTCACCTTATACCCTATTCCAGCCTTGGAATCGGTCATTTCTCCAAAGAACCCTGTTAAACATTGTCTTTTAAACTATATTTAATGACAAAAAGGATTAAGAATGTGAAAGGGATCAGGAGAAAGAGCAGACTCTTATCACGTAGGTACTTTGGGTGTTATGGCTAAGAACCACAGAGCTGGAGAGTCTTTAAAAGAATTTTAAGTATGTAGTTAGAGTCTAAAACCTAGAAAAAAATAAGTAATTTTGCTTTTTGTGTTAAGAGAATACATTGTTTTTTTCTACAAGACTTAGTAGAGAAGAGGAATTATGCTGAGTCTTCAGAATTCCATTGTCTCTGTAATCTCTGCTTCATCCTTAAGCCTCTGATTACAGTTTGATTTATCAGACACTTTTAATCATACATGTGTTCACTAGTATTAAATTATTATACTTTCTTATTTCCATTCTTGATACCCCATAACTTTGCACAGATAAGCTATTTGTCAAATGTATTTATTTCTCTTACTCTGTAAATGTTTTATTAAACCTTTTTGAATAATACTTCCTTCCAGGTTATTAATATCTGTTTTATTTATTGCTACCTCGTTATTTTTAATTATTTGTTTATGCTTTTAAGGGTTACTATAATGAAAGATAAAGATACCAGGAAGAGTAAAGGTGTTGCATTTATTTTGTTTCTGGATAAAGACTCTGCACAAAATTGTACCAGGGCAATAAACAACAAACAGGTAAGCCTTTCATTCCCAATAAGGTTTTTAACCCAAAAGGGTTTGTGCTCATCCAGGCCAAAAATATGGGAATGTAGTGGGTGATCAAGTCTTACAGGCATCAGTAGGTTCTGAGGTTATTAAACTTGTAGAAAAAAAAAAAGATGCCAAAACTGTACTGGGTTCCCAAAACATTGGTAGAATAAGGATGTTAGAGTCCATTCTACAGAACAGAATTTGTCACATCTAAGTAGGCAATTGCTAAAATAATCTAAAAGATAAAATTGAAGGTTTGAGCCAAAACCGGTTTGGCTCAGTGGTAGAGTGTCAGTCTGTGGACTGAAAGGTCCCAGGTTCGATTCCGGTCAGGGGCATGTACTTTGGTTGCAGGCACATTTCCGGTAGGGGGTGTGCAAGAGGCAGCTGGTCGATGTTTCTCTCTCATCGATGTTTCTAGCTCCCTATCTCTCTCCCTTCCTCTCTGTAAGAAATCAATAAAATAGTCGGGACCGGTTTGGCTCAGTGATAGAGCCCTGGCCTGCGGGACGTTTCCCGGGTTTGATTCCAAGGGCATGTACCTTGGTTGCGGGCACATCCCCAGTAGGGGGTGTGCAAGAGGCAGATGATTGATGATTCTCTCTCATCGATGTTTCTAACTCTCTATCCCTCTTCCTCTATGTGAAAAATCAATAAAATATATTTTTTTTAATCAATAAAATATATATATTTTTTTAAATTGAAGGTTTGAGGAAATGGGATCAGTGACTATATCTTCTGCATTTACCTTTTCTCTGATTTAGTTATTTGGTAGAGTGATAAAAGCAAGCATTGCTATTGACAATGGAAGAGCAGCTGAGTTCATCCGAAGACGAAACTACTTTGATAAATCTAAGTGTTATGAATGTGGGGTGAGTATATCTAAAACTTAATGTAATTTTCTATAGTTTACAGTACTTTCACACCAGTGTTTTATTTGTGCTCTTCTAAACTTCTGGGTGGCTAAAACCAGTTTATGAAAGTTGTTTTAATTTGGCACTCTACTCATCTAAGCAAACTCAATTGAAATTGAGTTTGTAAAGATATGTATGTAAAGATAACCTGAGTGATACAAAGTGACAATTTCTCCAGTCTTTGAAAACTGTTAGGTTAAAAGGTATTGACTAATTACTTATATTAGTGTCTTGAAAGATTTTAGTGACCCATAAATATGTGTGTTAATAGGATATTGCCTGTTTCTATAATATTGGATCGGCAACTAAGTAATTGCGGATTTTTTAAATTTTTTTTCATGGAACTAAATAACTTTATTCTGTAATGTATTGCCCATTTTGATCAATGACCTTTTGCCATCTTTCAGGCAGCATCATAATCCCATGTTCAAAAAACTTCTGGTTTTTATTAGCAAAAAACTGAATCAGGTACGATTTGACGACATCATCATTATTGAAATTTTTACCATTCAAGGAGTTTTGTAAAGATCGAAACAAAAAGTAATCAGATGGTGCAAGGTCAGGTCTATATGGTGGATGTGGCAAAACATCCCAACCAAGCTCCATTAATTTTTGCCGAGTGACCAAAGATGTGTGTGGCCTTGCATTGTCATGATGGAATACAACACCTTTTCGATTTGTCAATTCGGGCCGCTTTTCTTCAACTGCATTGTTTAATTTCGTTAGTTGTTCAATGTAGACATCAGAATTGATCGTTCGGTTGGGTGGTAAGAGTTCAAAGTAGACAATTCCTTTGTAATCCCACCAAACTGATAACAAAACCTTCTTTTGATGAATATCAGCTTTTGATGTTGTTTGAGTTGGTTCACCTGGCCTGCTCCACGATCTTTTCCGCTTGATATTGTTGTAAACAACCCATTTTTCATCGCCAGTTATCAGTCGTTTTAAAAATGGATCATTTTCATTACGTTTCTTTAGCAAATCGCAGCTGCTAATGCGTTGCGTTAACTGTGATTCTTTCAGTTCGTGAGGAACCCATGTATCGAGTTTTTGAACATAGCCAAGTTGTTTTAAGTGATTTTCAATGCATGTATGTGATACATGAAGCTTCTCTGCAATCTCACGTGTTGTACTGTGACAGTCCGAATTGATTATTGCTTTGATTAGGGCGTCATCAACTTCAACTGGACGACCAGAGCGTTTTTCATCTTTGAGTGAAAAATCACCAGAACGAAATTTGGCAAACCAATTTTGACACTGCCGTTCTTTTAAGGCTTCGTCACCATAAACAGCACATAACTTTTTATGAGCTTGCGATGCGTTTTTCCCTTTGCGGAAATAAAAAAACAAAATATGACGAAAATGTTCCTTTTGATTTTCCATTTTTCAACGAACGCCAAACGAAAACTACAAAACAGATCAAAAAACTTTTTTTACTGATTAACAGCTGAATAGCCAACTATCAAATAACAAAATGTGTTTTACATTTGTACTACGTCTGCAAACCTAAAAATTCAACTGAAGCCATATATGTGTGAAACCCGCAATTACTTAGGTGCCGACCCAATATTTTGCCAATTTAGTGTCTGCCCCCTGGTGATCAGTGTGCATCATAGCAACTGGTCGATTGGTCATTCCAGTTATTCTGGTTGTTTTGTCTTACCAATCACTTAGGCTTTTATGTATATACTAATAGCCCGGTGCATGAATTTGTGAATGGGGGGGGGGGGGGGGGGGGAGGTCCCCTTAGCCTGGCCTGCACCCTCTCCAATCTGGGATCCCTCAGAGGATGTCCGACTGCCAGTTTAGGCCCAATCCCAGCAGTCGGACATCCCTCTCATAATCCAGGACTGCTGGCTCCTAACCGCTCACCTGCCTGCCTGCCTGATTGCCCCTAAACACTCTGCCTGCCAGCCTGCTCGCCCCAAACTGCCCCCCAACCCCCACCCGCCCGCCCCCCCCCCCCCTGCCGCCAGCCTGATCATCCTCAATGTGCATATCCCCCCTCCAATCACCCACAACTGCCCTTCTTTCTTGGCTTCTAACTGCCTCTCCCTTGGCCCTGCCACCATGGCTTTGTCCAGAGGAACGTCCAGAAGGTCTCCTTGAAGTTCTGCCAGTCTAATTAGCTTATTACCCTTTTATTATACTGATAGAGGCCTGGTGCACAGGTGGGGGCTGGCTGGTTTGCCCTGAAGGGTGTCCTGGATCAGGGTGAGGGTTCCCTTGGAGGGCGGGGTGGCATGGGTGAGGATGGGGGCAGTTTGCAGCCACACCCCTATGGGGTGAGGGTCCCCACTGAGGGAGGCGTGGCCAGCCTGGGTGAGAGTTGATGGCCATTTGCAAGCCACTCCCTCAGTGGCCGCCTGGAAATTCAACTCCAGCCTGCTTCATAGCCACCGCCCACAGACCCCTCCTTTGCAGGTGGGAAGCTTGGCTTCCTCCATTGCCCGGGGCAACCCAAGCTGCCTGCCCTCTCCAGCTGGCTCAGTGGCCACTGCCATCTTTGTCCCGCTAATTTGCATATTCCCTCCTGATTGGCTGTGGTTTTTGTGGAGTGATGGTCAATTACCATATTACTCTTATTAGATAGGATAGATGGTCAATCTAACACTGTCAAATATGAATACAATGCAAACCACAAATTTAATTTTAAAATTTCTAGTAGCCACATTGAAAAAGTAATAAAATTTAAATCTTTTACTTTATCCAATATACTACATCTAAAATGTAAAATATTATCATTTGAACTATTGTAATTAATGTTTTAAAATTAAGATATTTTACATTTTTTTTTCTTATTGTCTTCAAAATCTTGTATATAGTTTACCCTTATAATGCATATCATTTTAAACAGGTTCTCACTAACCAATAAAGAATTATGGTTAGTGGTTGCCATAATTGGACAGTGCAGGGATAGTCTAAATATAGAAAAAAAAGGAAATTAATTAATAGGAAAAGTGAGGAAACTAAATTTGATTTTAAAACAGAATTTTAAGCAATATCTTGGAAGTTAGGAGTTTTGTCCCAATTTTGTCAAATAATAACTTAAAATGTTAACATCAAGGTAGATAGTCCATTTAAATTTTGAGGTTTTTAGCTTGCATTTAAAATGTTTGGAGGAAAAAACACTTATTTTCCTCTTAGCTCTTTGTGGACTTCTAAAATACTTTCTTATTGTTAAAATAGCTTATTAGGAGTTAAAATTTCCTTCTAAATATTAATGGGTTTTATTAATTTCTTCATGTATGTTCCCAGTGTGACTATATATTTTTTTAATTTTTTTAAGTTCCACCACCTTTTATTCTTTGGGTACCAGGCAAGTTTCTATTAATAACAAAACAAATAAAATAATTTTCCTTTCCTTCTTCATGGGAAACGAAAGGAAAGTGGACACTTAAGTTATGCCTGTCCTAAAAATATGCTTGGAGAACGTGAACCTCCAAAGAAGAAAGAGAAAAAGAAAAAAAAGAAAATTCCTGAACCAGAAGAAGAAATGTATGTATATCCACTCTTACTACCATAAATACATTATAGTGTTACTTCAGTCTTTTTACTATTATAAATGCATTCTGATTTTTTTTTTTTTTTAATTTAGTGAAGAAGTACAAGAAAGTGAAGATGAAGGAGAAGATCCTGCTCTTGACAGCCTCAGTCAGGCCATAGCTTTCCAGGTACTAAGTAGTTCTTTTTAAAGGCACCATGCCGTAGCAGCCTTGGGTTAATAGTTTTATATTCCTTGCTTCCTTTATTAATCATCTCCTCATTCTGGCAATCTGTCTTTTCCTTTCTCCTTCTAAACTTCAGGAGACTGGCTACTTTTCTTAGGTCTTTAGAACCAGTATGGTGGAAAAATTCCTATTGGCTCCTAGATTTTAAGGGCTCTATAACACTTTTAATATCATATAATTTGTTTTTATTATAAAATTGAGCAGAACTATTTTATTAAAGTGAGTTTAGCCCAACAGAAGAGATTTTATTAAAGATTGAAAAGATATCTTTGAAAGAAACTTCGCTTCAAAACAAAACCAAAAACATATTTTTGACCACTAAAGACCCTAATACAAATATATGAAACATTTTTTTCAAGGATACATAATCCTTACTTTTATATAACCAGATATTTTGTTTGAATGTAGTTGACAGGTAGTAACTGTATATGTCAACTTGCTTTTCCTTTTAGTAACTAATTTCATATTTTATAATTCCCACCTTCAGCAGGAATGGAAAATAGGCTTCATTTACTGTGCCTGTTAATTAGTAGAAATTGACTAAAATAATTTTGAGTAACATGGTAAAACTAAAATATATTGAGACTGAGGGAAGAGCATCCTGATGGAGTAGAATTGTTTTCATGGACTGCGAGGGTGGAAAGTGTTGGCACATGTGGTGTGTTTTTGCATTGTTTTAAATTAATGTACCATAAATAATATTAAATAGGTTCCTGATTTTGTTTGTTTTCTTACAGCAAGCCAGAATTGAAGAAGAACAAAGAAAGTGGAAACCCAGTTCAGAGGGTCCCTCAACCTCTGATGATTCAAGACGCCCAAGGATAAAGAAAAGCGCATATTTCAGTGATGAAGAAGAACTTAGCGATTAAAATTATATTTATTATGTAAATATTAAAAAAAATGTTTTTAATCTTAGAGTACCAAGTTCAATTGGGACTAAAGATTGTTTTTTAGAATTTGACCATACAAATACTTAATGCCAAATAATTTTTTACTATAAAATAGTTTACCCTGGTCAGACAGCTGGGTTGGTTAGAGCATCATCCCAATACACCAAAGTTGTGGGTTCAGGCCCCAATCAGGGCTGAACCCACAATATATGCATAAAAAAGTGGAACAATAGCCTGGCTGGCATGGCTCTGGTTGAGCATTGACCTAGGAATCAAGGAGGTCAGGACACATGCCCAGAATATGGGCTCAGTCCCCAGTGTGAGGCTTGCAAGAGGCAGCCAATCAATTCTCCCTCATCATTGATATTTCTATCTCTGTTTCTCTTTCTCTAAAATCAATAAATATTTTTTAAATTACTATAAAATAGATATTGAAAAGAAATTTTAAAGTATCATGCTTCTGTCTTGCCTAAGCAAAATATTAATAATAAAGATTTGTTAATCATTAATATTGAAAATAATATATTCGAAAAAAGAACAATATATAATAATGCTATTGTCATCCCAAGAAATAAGGTATATATTAAAAAGATTTGTCTGAGGGTTCATTAAAAATAGTTATTAGTCTTGATTAGTTTATATGAGGACTTTTAAAATAAATTTCACCAGCAAGGAAAAAACCTTCATAAAGATTGGAAAAAGTTGAATGATTTATTGTTATTAAATATTTAAATTTTTTTCAAGAGAATTTTTTTTTAATACGGGTGTTTGTCACCTTATTATAGCTTGATCCTAATCTGGATACATTGTAATTTCCCCTAAAATATAAAGTAGCTCTAAAATGCTTATCCACCAAACAGTGTTAATTTACCTTGCCTTTGGGACCCAAGTTCCATTTCCCAAAAGCAGCTAACTTAAGGTGTTTCTTTTCATATGTACATATATTTTTCCTAAATAAGATGCATATATCTTTTCACATAATTCATAAAAGGATAGAGGACTTTTTTTTATCTTCTGTATTCTCCACTGCCTTCCTCCATTTCTCAGTATGGTTATGTTAAAATTGTTGGTTAAGTCCATTTTTATTTTATGACACGCTGTAAATACTGTTCACTTCTGAGCTAACAAGTATGCAGTTACATTTTTGCAGAGTTAATTATTGTGTGTGTTTTTTTTAATATATTTTATTGATTTTTTACAGAGAGGAAGGGAGAGGGATAGAGAGGCAGAAACATCAGTGAGAGAGAAACATCCATCAGCCGCCTCTTGCATACCTCCCACTGGGGATGTGCCCGCAACCAAGGTACATGCCCTTGACCGGAATCGAACCTGGGACCTTTCAGTCTGCAGGCCGACGCTCTCTCCACTGAGCCAAATAGGTTTCGGCTATTGTCTCATTTTTTATGTATTATATATCTTTTTATTTATGACTAAATCTGCCCAAACTTTCTGCAGATAGTTATATGGGAATGGAATTATGGAGCCTTTAATTTTCTACTTTTTTATATTTCTATAGTGTTTGAATGCTCTTAAAAAGAACAGCCACTTATTAGTTTTCTTAAATTACTAAAAGCAATAAAAATATTTGCACTTTGCCAAAATCAGTTTGGCTCAGTGAATAGAGCTTCGGCCTGTGGACTGAAAAGTCCCAGGTTCTATTCCAGTCAGGGGCATGTACCTTGGTTACCGGCACATCCCCAGTAGGGGGTGTGCAAGAGGCAGCTGATTGATGTTTCTCTCCCATCGATGTTTCTAACTCTGTTCCTCTTTCTTCCTCTTTCTTCCTCTCTGTAAAAAATTAATAAAATATAAATTTTTTTAAATGGCAATCCCCATATCTTTTAAGAAATAAATAAATAAAATAAAATAAAAATATTTGCACTTTGAAAACTACACAGGCAATGAAAGTGTTAACCGCTTGCCAGCAAAGAATCTAAATTGCAGTGAAGTACATGTGCATATATGTGGAACACAACAGTGATAATGAAATATGTAGGCATTAAGATGTATGAATAGTAAAACCTTGGCTACCATATCTAGAGAAGTCTTGAAGTACTTAAAGTTTTGCATATAATATACCAAAAATAAGTCATTTAGACTCAAATCATATATAGCAGAGTGATAGGTGACAGGAAGGGCCAAGGAATCTCATTAACAGCCATTCAGCTTCAGAAACGAGTGAATGGGTTAAAATGCCCCACATAGAATAAGAGTGTTCCTTTACAATGTTTCATCTATTTCCAGGTTGGAAATTTATGCTGTCAAAAAAATCTTCAGCTCTCCTTTCATCATTGTCAAAGGCAGAATACCAAGGCAGCTGAGCAGGAGGCACAGAGAAAATATAGATGCACTGCCAAACAAAAAGAAGCCATTTCCCATAATAAGCAATTTCACAGACTATTTGCAGAAATATGGAAAAATGGTTAAAACCTTTTTGGAAAGCAGTTCAATAAGCACTGTTACTAAAGTAACAATACAAATAATTATAGTCAGAGGCAATCCTTAATCCACAGAATGGGTTTAGGCACTATCAATTACTTTTTTAAAATATATTTTTTTATTGATTTCAGAAAGGAAAGAAGAGAGAAAAACATCAATGATGAAAGAATCATTGATCAGCTGCCTCCTGCACACCTAATGGGAATCGAGCCCAAAACCAAGGCATGTGCCCTGACTGAGAATAGAACCATGACCTCGTTCATTGCTTGATGCTCAACCTCTGAGGCATGCCAGCCAGACCACTGCCAATTAGTTTTAAAAATGTGTGTGTGTGTATTATTGATTTCAGAGAGGGAGAGAGAGAAACATTAATGATGAGAGAGAATCAGTGATCAGCTGCCTGTGCACACCCCACACTGGTGATCGAGCCTGCAACCCAGGCATGTGCCCTTGACTAGAATCAAACCTGGACCCTTCAGTCCACAGGCTGTCACTCTATCCACTGAGTCAAACCAGCTAGGGCTCAATTATCAATACTTTTAAAATTGCTTTTATCAGATCCAAATTTTAAGAATCCTTAGGTATAGATAAAATCAATAGGTATACATAGAATCAATTAGTAATTTTAGTTAAGATCTGGTAATCTAGAGTAAGCTGACCAGAAATATAACAGCTTTTATACAATGCGGTCTTAAGCAAATTCCTTTCCCAGAGAGTTGCATTTCTCATCACATCTTTTCAGATTCATGGCTCTATGCAAAACACGAAACAATTTATAAAGGAGATGTTATAGTTTGGTCAGGACTTGATGAGTATACTCAAAATGAGTTAAATCCAAAAACAGGCATTTAACAAATTATCAGAAAGAATTTGTATTATTACATATTTAGCCCTGTGCATCAGACACTGCCATAAATATATCTATACTTAATAAAAGGGTAATATGCTAATAAGACCAGACATCCTTCCAGACAAAGCCACAGTGGTGGGGGCTAAGTTAGAGGCGATTGGGGGCAACCAGGCTGGCAGGGGAGCAAAGTTAGGGGTGACCAGGCCAGCGGAGCAGAGCAGTTAGGAGTGACCAAGTTCGCAGGCAGAGGCAGTTAAGGGCGATTGGGCAGGTAGGAGAGCAGTTAGGGGCCATCAGGCAGGCAGTTGAGCTGTTAGCAGGCAGGTGAGCTGTTAGGAGCCAGCAGTCTCAGATTGTGAAAGGGGTATCCAACTGCCGGTTTAGGCTCAATCCTTGGAGGACATCAGGCAGTTGGACATCCCCCAAGTGTTCCTGGATTGGAGAGGGTGCAGGCCAGGCTGAGGGAACACACACATACACACACACACACACACACACACACACACACACACACGTACACATGCACAAATTTTGTGCACCGGGCTTCTAGTGTATATATATATAAAAGACTATTATGCTAAATGTCCCTCTGGCCATCCGACAGGTCACTATGATGTGCACTGACCACCAGAGGCCAGACAGTCAATGCAGGAGCTGCCATGACACACACTGGCTATTTACAAAGAAACAGCACTTCAGACCTAGTGCCAACAAAGCAACACTCTGCTTCCCCCATGTGAGACACAGGCCCCAACACTCCACCAAATCACAGCAAATGCTGTCAAGACCCCCATGGCATGAATGTGGCCCCCTGCCCAGCCCAGCCTGGAAACGGTTGCTGTGGGCTCTGGGTAATGACATCACGTGGCAATGGCTGGCTTCCTCTCCCTAGCAACTAGCCTCCTTGGAATTCTTCAGCCCAGGAATACGACTTGCTTTATTGCCAGGTGCAAATATTTTACACTTCAACCAAATGTCTGTGAAGCATTTTCATCTCATTTGATCCTCACAGAGGTCCAGGTATAGGTAGATAGAAGACTCAGTAGAATCCAATTTTCATTAGCCAGAAAACAAAGATTTTAAAAATTTAGAAACTTGACCCGACTGAAAACAAGTAAGAAATGGTGGACCTTAAAAATGACTTAAGGTTTTCTACTGCACAGAATATAGTCAAACACTGCTGCAGTTAAATATTTTACCCTTTGTTCTCCCTGTGTGATTTACAATAATAATCTGCTTCGTGTTAATATTTACTGCTGTTTTGCTGACAATTACCTGAAAGAGAAGTTGGGGTGCTTCACTGTGCTGGATAAAATTTAGCTAAATCAGAAAGCAAGTCTAATTAAGCAAGTTTATTCACTTGCTATATATAAAAGGCTAAATTGACTCACACATGCGCGATACATATAAAGCCTCACTGGCACCAATCGCACAATGACAATCGATCTGTCATTGTCGATCATGAATTTGGTTGACACATCTATTATAGAGGGCGAATAGCGATATTAAAATATTTTTTCTAATTAATTTTCTTTCAATGTGCATGAATCCTTGCACCAGGCCACTAGAGAAAAATATAAACTAACAATCCCTTTTAAATAGGCATTATTTTCATTCTTATATAGATGACAAAATTGAGGCACAGAGAAGTGGAGTAATATACCACAAGTCACACAGTCAATAAGCACAAAAAGGCCTGCACAGCTAGAGAGGCAGCATTGTCAGAAAGCAAAATT